ATAAACTGTATGACAACTTCACTCAGCTCTTCAACCTCTTTGGTGTGGCCCAGTAAGCACACTGTGCTGTCTGAGCCAAACACGACCTGAGCCCTGTATTGGCCTTGGTTTATCTCTTTTGTCTTGGACTTAAGCTTTTCCCGAAGCTCAGATGGCACAACAGAGCAGTTAGGAAAGTCAATCTTGACTTCGTTGAATATTTCATGCAGTTTTTTTTCTGTGTCATCCAGATTATCAGCAGAGAGGGAGAAGAACCGCAGCTCCGTGTCTCGTAATTCTATTTCCACCTTGTCACCAACCCCTAAAAAGTCACCTAGCACCCCTGGACCTCCGTATGCCTTTCTCAAGAAGGCCAAAAAATGTGGGCTCATGTCAGGAACTGTCCTTTCTAACACCAAACTTTCCTGATCAGAGATCCATTCACCAGCCTTAAGAATCTCCTCTACAGAACCTTCCAAAACTAACTGACCTGCAGCTCCCTGCGTGACCTTCAGGCCTGGAAAATCTCGTCGTAGGCTGTGCTCAGTCTCTTTCCAGAGGAGACTAAGCTTGGACTCTCCCACTCGACGAATGCTGGTTTGCTTCATATTTAAACCTGCCCTGTCTACTTCCGCCAACCTGGCATTCACCTGGGAACGTTCCCCAACAACAACAGCCATCCCAACCTCGCTGTACACCTTTACTTTATCTGTGGTCTGAGGAGAGCTGCAGGACTGAAGCAAAGCTTTGACCTTGTGAGAGTCTAACTCATAGTGGCACAGGTAGCCATCAAAGAGTTTGTCTACCTCTGCTTTCCAGTTGCTAACATCATCTGCAGCACCAGGTTGAGCTAAACGGAAAACTACAACTTTCTCCTCTTCCGGGTAAAGCTGAGCAGAGCAGGAAACAGAGGCGAGTTCTGTCTGCAATTTTCTCACAGCCTTTGGACATTCCTTTAGGTAACGAAGGAGGTAAGCATCAAATTGTAGTTTGTATTCTTCACCACTTGGTGGAGGTGTTGAGGCAGGCATGGACTGTGGGCTCTGTTGAAAGGAGATATCCAGATAATGATAGCAACAGTTGACTGGTCCTGGTCACATAGAAACAGTTGGATTGTAAGAGCTTACTATTGGTTTATGAACATATACATGAATATACAGAGTTTATGATGCGTTATAAAACCTCTTCAGTGTTACATGATGGCATGAAATAGGGAACTTGTAAATAAAAATTGATTTTGTACATAAACAACCTTCACTGACTGACAGAAATGTTGTGCTGACCTGTTCTGGTGCGATAAAATCCTGACTTGGAGAGGAAGCGAGAGGTTCCAGGCTGCCTCGGACAGTGAACACCAGACCATCCACAACATGCTCAGATCTCCGCAGGACCCTCTGCTGATCTAAGACAGAACATGTGACATTAGTTATTGTGAGTTTTAAACAAGGGCATTGCTGTTTATTTGAGAAAAACACAGGCTTTAAACTTGATGAGATTCTTTGTCTCTCACTTTGTGTCTCGCTTGGTTAGTGACCATCAGTTGTACACTACTTTTCACAATGCATTGTGGGATACTTTGAGTCCACTATATAGGGTATAAAAATTCCCACTATACATTCAAACAGCACTACAAAATGGCGAAGGCATTATGTAGTGGCCTGTTTAGGGAGTACTGAGGGATTTCTATGGAAGTTTTTATTGGACTTTATTATTTGTAACCCACACAAGACAATCTATAAACTATCTACAAACATGTTTATTTTTACATTTGTCTTGTGTAAAGTCATGTCCATGAAAATATAGATTGATGTGTATAACTTACTCTGTAACCAGGTACTTTAATTTTGCTTAAAACGTTACAGGTTTTACAAATGTGAACTGGTTTTGCACATTTGTGGATCACTTCCGGTCAGTTTGTGTCTAAGTTTGTGGGACATTTGTGACTCCCTTTGTATTTGTTAGCATAATTTTGTCCAATTTCTACCACAGCAAATCTGTAAAAAAAAAAATCAAAAAAAAAAATCCACAAATGTGAAGTATAATCATTGGAAAGCTTGTATTGGATTTTCTTATTTGTAACCCACCAATGACAATCTGCAAATGTGTACCATGTTCAACAAATATTTCACTATCCACAAACATGTCTTTTCATATTTGTGCTGAGTAAAATCATATCCACAAAACTTCTATAGGATTTCGGCTGGTGATTCAGTCTATAAAGTTTACTGAATATTTGTGGACATGAGCTACTCTCTTTCAAAGCCAACAAACTTGATAAGTCAAACTTGGGATGTCAAATATTATATTAGCCAAACAAATTGTTATAGATCGGCATATCAGATAAAAAATCCAATATTGTGCACCCCTATCTCAGTGTAATCTATTCTGTAACATCTTTCCCAATTCATTGTCTGTGGAGCAGCTTCAGTCTTTATGTAACAGGGTCAGTTATACAGCAGTAATATGTGTAACAAAGTCAAATGTACATTACTGTACACAAAATGTACACAAAATTTGTTTTAGTTGTTATTACCTGACACGCTTAGGCCTCCGCAGTCAATATGTGGAACGTTTGACTCAGATTCTGTACCCCAATGTTCACCTTTGGGGGTACCCCACGGCTTACCTCTCCCTAGTGATGGCCAAATGAAGCTCAAGGGCTCTTGGTTTAAAGATAAAGGCTGAAGGACTTGCAATTAAGTGTGCTTTCAAACCTTTGCTGAACAGACAGTGCCATCTGGTGGCTTCAGAAAATAAAGACAGTGGTTCATGAGGCCTCATTTAGTCATCACTACCTCTCCCCTTTTGCTGTTGTACTCCATAGGAGAGTTAAGTAAAATTGCTCTCATAGTAATATCCATGTATCCATGTCCGTGTTTTGTTCATACTTTAATTTTATGCTAACATTTTCCTGTGTCACTTAATTTGTGTAGGCCCATGAGTCTTTAAGGTCGTGTTTATTCTTGCCTCTTGCTGTCAGGTATATTTTCTGTGTTTTATTGTAGAGAACTGAATCTAAAATGGCCGCCCCTTTTGCTGTTGTACTCTATGGTAGAGGGGCTCGAGTTTATATAGTGGTATTTGACGAAGGATTTTTTTTTTTTTTTTACCTCTTGCTGCCAGGACTAAACAGAGATCGCCTCCAAAGATGGCCACAATTTGGGCCTTTTCATTTTAACACAAAGCAGACAACTGTGATGGAAAGTTTTGGTATTCAACCATAATGTGTTCTGCATGTTTTGTATACCCATGTTCTAAGGTTACTTGTTTTGATGAAACTGAACTTCTCACCTAGTGATATGTGTTGCTCATTTAACCCCTACTGTGACCGCAGTGTGACGAAGTTGTTTTGCCACCACACAACACTATCCACTGGTTGCATATTTGACGACATCACAAATTTAAGTTTTACTACTCTATGTTTTGGAATTAGTGGGAGATTTGTTAATGTTTACTGATATTTTTTGGACTTATTCAGACCGTAGGAGTGTCGTGTATGAATTTTTAAAATGTGCGGAGTTACCCTTTAAGTTTCACCTTCTCGGGAAAGTGAAACTTAAAATGCCTTTGCTGTTTAGGACCCAGTCTCGCAGATTTCCTGTCGAATCAGTGGGGTCATTGACAGTTTAACACATTATTACAATAGCTGCCTATACATACAGTTCACATTTTATTCTCCAGGCGAATAAATTTAATTAATAGGCTATAGTTGATGCATTTACTTTATAGTTCAAATGGGTGCTCCTTTGACCACCCACATTAATACACAGCTCGCGACCGCTCGCGACACAATTGTAAACATGAGTTAATCATTAACGTGCTGTGTTTAATGACTTACCTTTCTGATATCTGAAAGCAATGCTGTAGGTTTTATCATCCACCCTGCTCAGATTGCTGCTCTCTCCTCCGTCAGATTTGCGGCGAATACGGAAATATGTTTGCACCCGCTTCACCTGCTCCTCTGTCAGGCTGTGGCACTCAAAGAAAACGGGGAACCTGTAAATATTATCCATAGTTTACCTCTTGAGAATAGATCAATAAGGCCAAGCGTGTACTGCAGCGGCCGATGTGAGCAGCGATGTGTTTACATGTTTCCAGTCTGATGGAGAAACTCCGCCTCTTGTGCTGATAGGATAGGAGGAGGCACATGCAGTATTTCATTAGTTAACCCTATAATAGAAAACAACTACAGTATACTCATTGGTCTCTTTATTAGGTACACCTTGCCAGTACCGGGTTGGACCCCCTTTTAAGTTCTTGGTGTCATAGATTCATCAAGGTGCTGGAAACATTCCTCAGAGACTTTGGTCCATATTGACATGATAGCATCACACAGTTGCTGCAGATTTGTCAGCTGCACATCCATGATGTGAATCTCCCGTTCCACCACATCCCAAAGGTGCTCTATTGGATTGAGATCTGGTGACTGTGGAGGCCATTGGAGTACAGTGAACTCATTGTCATGTTCAAGAAACCAGTTTGAGATGATTTGAGCTTTGTGACATGGTGCGTTATCCTGCTGGAAGTAGCCATCAGAAGATGGG